AATTTTTTATAATTTTCGCTAAACGGACTTTGAATGTCTTTCATTTCTTCGGTCAGGACTTTTCCGACTTCATGAAATTTTCTGTCATTTATTAAAAATACATCTTCAAAACTGTCATTATTTAACTTACCGACCGAGCTCTCTGAATTTTCCGACTTATTATTTAATTTTATATCTGTAGTTGAATTTTCAGGAATAGTGTGTGCTTTTGACTCAGCCGTCAAGACTTTCATTCTTTTGTTGTCCGACTTAACAAATTCAACCATCCAATAGGGTTTTTCATATATTCCCGATATCCATACATTTTCAGTATGAGGATCGAAAATACTAATCTCCTTGTCATCTAAATAGATCGACAAGCCCATATCAGCAAATTTCCCCAGCGACAATAAATTCCCGATCAAGTCGCGAGCACTTACCACTCCCTTTAACTCAACGTCGTTATTGCAGTTTTTAAGCAGCAAATTTCCCACTCCCTCCGTTTTCAAGTCTGCGGATGAGTCTGAGTTTGCACATTTTATTTTACCAATTTTGTTTCTGTCAATATTTGTAAAGAAATTTTCTGACTTTGCAAAGTGATCAGTCGCTCCTGAATCAGCGACAAATTTAATTTTATTTTCTCCATCCGATTCTGAATTATTTATCCAACCTGCAGAGTTTGAAAACAGAGTATTACGGGGCTCGATCAACGTCAGAGACTCACCTTTATTTGACCCTGAAGCATCTCGTTTTCCCTTTGTCTCCCGGTCCTGGTCAGAAACTTTCTGCCTTTTGGGATCTTTTTCATCCCTGACGTTGCTAGAGTCCCTTTTCTGCCCAAAGTTTCGGGAATTGGAGCGGCCTCGTCCACTGCTACGGCCACAGTCGCGGCCACCTCGATTCCCTCGACTTCCACGGCCCTGCCTTTTAAAATCCCATGAATCAGACTTATTTTGCTCACCACATCTCGGGCTGTATCTCTTGTAAGCTGGGATGTCATGCACGAACGTGCCACACGTGTAGCACTTCCTGAGTCCGGTACCTGCCTTCGGACACTTGTCAGCCATATGGTCCCAGTCATCACAGTTGAAGCAGCGGAGGCGGTCCTGAGGCCAAGAGGCAGTCAAAGCTGCCCTCGTGGGGCGACCTCCAGTGGCTTCTGCTAGTCCTTCTGACTCGACCTTTAACATGTACGACATGAGGTTTTCATATGTAAAACCCTTTCCATCTCTGCTTTGCATTTTAAGCGTGAAGTCTGTCACCTGCACGCTTGTTCCGCTCCGATTACGGCAGTATAAAAGGCATCTCGCTTTTCTTCTTCAGAAAAGGGACCAGACGTACTTATAGTCTCATGATTTCTGACCAGTTCCTCAAATTTTTCTATGAATTTGGCAACCGATTCTTTCCCTTTGTAAAATTTAATTTCATGCAATTTTTTACGAATCGCGGCCGTTGTAAGGGGNGGATTATGTGGTTGTGGTTATTGGGTTACATCAACGAATTTCGAGTGGGTAATTTACTCACTCGAGATTTTTCGAGTGGGTAGTAAAGTACTACCCACTCACTCCGTATTATCTGCCGGCCCTGATTTGGTATCCCAGGTTTCCTATTTTCGCCACTACACACGCTGGTGTTGACTCTTCTATCCCCTCCCATCACTTGCACCTGGCCATAATAAGCTCGGCGATAGCTCGGGCCTACCTTAGCAGCCGAGGTAACTTACGTTGGCACTTGGCACAAGCTTTGCTTTCGTCAGAGAATATGGAAACACATCCTTTCATGTACTGTCAGATTAAATTTTACTTAAAAAAATAGCCAAAAATTTAGCTGTAAGAATGTGTATTTTTAGCTATTTGATGTGTATTTTTAGCTGTTCCGTTTAGCTATATTTTCAGTAGAATATTCAGCTAATAATTACCGTACCAAATGCTACCGTAGGATAGTTGTAATTTCAGCTGTATTTTTAACTGTGTCTTTTATTAGTTAAAAATACAACTAAAAAAAATTATTGGCTGAGGCAAAAGAGTAATTTTCTACAGTCCTTTTTAGCTGTACGTTTTAATGCATCGTTATCTAATAATAACCGTGTGAAAAGCTACTTTAATTTCATTTGTATTTTCAACTGTTATCAATATTAGTTTAAAAAAAAATACCAAAAAATACAACTGATACTTTTGCTTTTTAATAGAAAATGATTTTCGTCTCTTTGAGCTATATATGTATGTATTTTTTTTTCAATGTTCAGTTAATAATAAACTAATGAAAAGCTGCTTTACAGCTGTATTTGTAACTGTTATTATTAGGAAAAATTATTGCTAAAAATGCAGATAAGAACTTATCTTTAATCAAGAGTATTATTTAAAGTCCTGTATAGCTACATATTTAGTTGAATACTTAGCCAATATATGATACTGTAACTTAAATGGTTCACTTCAAATGCAAGGTTATTTCTAATTTTTATTCTACGGCGTGATGACAAGAAAATTGAAGGGAGTGTAAATAATTCAGCAGTATTTTGAGCTGATACAGCAGATACAATTTAAGGTAGATTAATTTATTCGATTGTACAATTAATAAAGAAAATTTGATACATAAAGATATTTTTGAGGTGAAATAGTTTTTAGGTACATAAGTAATCGGAAATGAACAAGAAATAGGGGTAAGTGTACCTATCTCCGTGGCACGTACTGAAAATTCCAACTTAAATGCACCATAAAAAATGGTATACTAAAATTTTTTGGAATACTTTTTTTTTAAATCTTACATAATCTCTTACGGAATATTAAAAAAAATTTTATGAAGCTAAAACTGCAGTAGAATATTTTTAAAACGAATAAAAACGGTATGCTGGTATTACCGTGGTTGTGTACCTATTACCGTGTACGTATTACCGCGGATAAGTAAAGGGTTATGTTTACGTACGCTCACCGCGGAAATACGTACACAATCAGTTAATGAGCGTGTTGTACCGAATACCGTGGAAAATAATTATTTACTCAAAATATACAAAAATATTTCTGTTAGAATTGCATCTACATTAACGTCATTTTAGATTATTAAAATTGAAAAATTATTTTATATGAAACATTTCTTATTTTGAGCAAGTAATCATCAGTTTTTCAAAATCCACGGTAATAGGGCAGAGCACGGAGATAGGTACACTTACCCCTATATGTATGTAATTTGTCTTTTATCAATTAGAAAATATTTTCCTAAATTATTTTGCCTTCTACGAATACATCGCCATAGTTGGTTCGCAATTAACTTTATATGCGAACATACCTCAGTTATACCATTACGGGCATTTAATCTATTGTAGATAATTAATTGCCGATTATTAAGTGAAGAGGTGTGAGTAAAGGGGGTGCGCAAAATAAAAACGAGTATTTTAAAGTAAGACAAAAAGACTATTTAATTAGACTGCCGACCGACGTCAAACACAACTGACTTGATACAGTTTACAGACTTATTACTGACAAAACGGACAAAGATAATAAAGCTAGAGCCGACGAGAGGTGTAGAAGGCACGGCACAGATTAGTAGAGAGATTGCTGACTGCAATGCTACGGCGCGAGTTCACTTTTGGCCACTGTTTCGAGAGCCACGTCGCGGCCAAGCGGTCGAACCAGGCACACATATTTTTTTTTTTATTTGAGAAGCGTGGAGGGGGTATACCGAGTGTGTGCCTACAGATTCGCGTGGAAATGGGCATGTAGGCACATACTTCGGAGACGCGTGGAAGGGGTATACTGAATATGTGCACACGAAGAAAGGAGTGGTGTGCATGGAAATGCCGACTACAGCTATATAACTATATATACCCGCGTATATCGTAGCGAAAGAAAGCAACGAGTCTTTCTCGCTATATACTTATACTTACTAACTTCTTAAATAAGGTCTTAGAAATTAAGGGGAAATAGAGAAGAAAAAAAGATTTCACATCTAATATTTGTAAAATAAAAAAACCTATTTTAATTTACAATTCTCTATAACATATGAAAGTTTAAGAGAGGCTAGCCATACTATTTTTCGAAAATTAAATCATACAAATAAATGTTTACGCAATTGGAA